ACCGAGTAAGAAGAAAGAGAATACAAGTGTATGCATAAAAAATGAAGATATTACGAGTTGAAAATTATGTGAGTGATATATACGCGTGTGTTTGAAAAAGTTCAGTTATAAAGGAGAAATATATCCCCGTGCCCGAGGAGGTCTTGTTTGGCGTTGCCACATCTACCGCATGCTAGAAGAAAAAGAGAGACAAGAGAAAGACAGAAAGTATCCCGTTTTCATAGCTGCTTGACAGCATCCTCTAACGACTTCTTGGTGAAACTGGCAAAGCTATGTGGGCATAAACCAGGCCTAAAATAGCAGATTTAAAGGTTTTACTTCCTTTCAAACATTAAAATATGTAAAAAACGCTAGATATTGCTTAAAATTTATGAATATTTTACAAAGAAAATCATTTTGTCTGTCGTTTAAATAACGGAAGTACGGAACTGAAAATTCAAGGAACCATGACACATTTATATTTTTTTTAAATGCATTTACTTACGGGTGATTAAATTTTAACATAATGTGCTTAAACACCAGGGAGACATCCCTCTACGCAATACCTCTTCCTCAAAGGCGGGATAGTGATATTATCTGACGCCTGAAGCGTCTCCTAAAGCGGAAGTGCTGAGGAAGCTTGAACAGTTTTTCTCACTAGTCAATATACGCATCGTAGGCTACAGCTTTAAACTCGGCCTTTTGCCACATTCCGTTCGAGTGGGCGTGCGGTACTGAATTCGTCGAAGGCACTAATTTCATAATATCATAATTCTGTTTGCTCTTCCGTCAGTAAGTTAGTTAGCGCGTGCATTATACCCTGCCATTACTTCACATAAATAATGGACCATTCTGTTTTGCTTGCAAGGAAAGCTGGAAGGGAAAGATATATCAGGGGCATACATTTGGTTTGAGGGAGAAAACGAAAATATACACAACAATAATAATAATAATAATAAAAAGAAGAAGAAGAAGAAAGAAGAAGAAGAAGAAAGAAGAAGGAAAGACAGAAGACAGAAAGAAAGAAAGAAAGAAAGAAAGAAAGAAAGAAGGAAGGGATAACGCTCTCATGCGTTTAACGTCTGTTTCAGTGAAATGGAAAACCTTGTCTGTTGTAATCGTTTCATTTGTACCCTCTTCTTTGAATAATGAGCTACATTCATATTTATGAATGCTATCGCAATATTTTGTTAAAGATGTTAAGCTCAAATATTGAACGATGCAATTGGAGACGCAGATATTTGATAGCCGTCGAACTCGCCATGAGCTTATTCAAAGATTAAATTAAGAATAATGCTTCATCAGAAAATTCAAATAGGAAAATCGTGAAATTCTCACCTATACTGTTAGTCTAAATAAGATTCATAGAGATGGAGATCTAAGGTTGTTTTCTGAGGAAAATATCAAGTCGGTTTTACCTGAAGTTCTTGTATTCTTTTGTATTTTGCTGGCGATAACATTTGATAAAGATTTATCAAACTAACACCGTGGGCTTCTTGTACTAAATACTACTAAATATTAAATACTAATCCAATCAGGACAGACTCGTAGAGTAAATGAAGACACCACTACAGATTTGTCATACTTTTATATCCTTCAACTTGTCATTATTTTTTATCTTTTTATAATTTCAGCATTGTTTAAAATGGCCGACTGGGAACAAGCCGACTGACTGCTTCCTCTTCAACGGCAGGGAAACAGCGACAAACCAATAAAGTGAGTCACTTACATCACTTGTAACAGACACAAAATCTTAAGAGTGAATAAAGACATGCTTTTAAATCCATCTTTTTTATTTGTTTTTGAATTTTTTTTTTAAATTTCAACGATGTTTAAAAGAATTCAATTGCCATAAAACCGACCGACCATTTTCTCTTCACAAGACATGCGAATCGTAATAAACGGCATCACTTGTAATAGATTTGTAATCAGAATAAAGTCGTAAAATTAAATATCCACAGAACATTGGAATTTTGTTCGAATAATCAACTTGTTTAACTTTATCATGTGGGTGGCGTGAAACTGTTTATCTTCCATAAGGTGATTACAGCTCTCCACAACTTCCTGATCATTGTAATCCTTAGTAAACTTTGTCTTTTTGCTATATCTCCTAATCCCTGTTTTGCCAACCATTTACACAAGCTCACTCAGTAGATTATACATTATTTTTCTCTTTCCCACTTGCCTTTAACATGTCCTGTGCGTGTCAAATTTTCCAAGCCCGATTTCCTCATTACGTGCTGTAGAAATGTCAACTCTCTTTTTCTGATGCTACTTATAAGTGTCCTTTTTGCTTGCATTTTCTCTAAAACTTCGCCATTGGTCACGTGTTTAGTAAATAGGAAAATCAAAATCAAAATCAAAATCCTTCTGTAGAATCCCATATCTGTTGCCTCAAGTCTCTTCTCCATCTGGGATGAGATTATCCAGAATTCACTGCCATATAGGAGGACCGATATTACATAACAGCTTTCTTTGTTCCCAATGAACTTTTTCTGTTTCTTAATATTTTGCTTAACTTTTGGAAGGCATCTCTTGTTGTCCCAATGCACCTTTGGATTTCAGTGTCGCATTTTCCGTTCTCTGTTAAAACATTTGTCAGATATTTAAATTTTTGTACTTGTTTAATTTTGACATCTCCAATTTGTAATTCGCATGTTGGGTACTGTTTCTTTTGCTGACAACCATGCATCCTGTCTTCTTGCAATTGATGTTTAGTCCTTTCTTCTCGCTTTCCTACGCTACCTTCTCTATGAGTTCCCGTTGTTTCTCTTTTGTGTCTGTTATCAACACTGTGTCATCTGCATATATAACGTTGTTAACGTTGTGGCAATAATGAATCTTAGTAGGGCTTCTGTCTCAGGACTACTTTACTGTACTCTTATAGTTACTAAATAATCATTAGCTTTAAATAAGAGGAAAATAAATATTTGAAAATGAACTGACTACAAAATATAAGAAATAGCGTTTTTAAACTACCGTTTTTACTGTATAATACAAGTGGTAAGACGCACCCTATTAACTAGGTATTTTTAAAAAATATTTGAGGATTTAATGGCTGACTGTACTAACAAGTTCCAGTCGCCGACTCTGCGGTGTCATTTTTTTTTCTTTCTAAATTATCACATATTTGGCATTTTTATGAAATATTTGGGGTTATTATTAATTAGATTTCTATTAGTGTAGCACAGGAATTCAGGAAACCAAATCATTATGGCGGATAATAGGTACTGGGAATTGACAGTACATTTCGTATTAACGATAAGCCTACTGAGGTAACTGGTTTGTTTCAATAGTACACAAAGTGCGGTATTCTTGGTGTACATATGAAACGTAACTGTCAACCTGTATTGCTTGGCTTGGGGTTAGGTGTTTGAAAATACCCTACGATATGCGTAGATGAACGAAAAACGTACAGTACCGGTAGAAAACAGCTTACTGGTTATCATCAATACTCGAAAAAAAGAAAGAAAAAAAAAAGCAACATATATGATATGATACTAATTAGGTATACAGATATCCTTTCACACGAACGCGGGTGATCCCGAGGTTATATCCTGGGTCCTACGCTGTTTTTGATCTTTATCAATGATCTTCCTGATGTCGTCAGTTCCCAAGTAGGCATTTACGCAGATGACACTACCATTTACTCCTGTCTCCATAGCAATCCATCAGAGATGACAAAGTTAACCTGGTCGTTGTTCTTGAAAAGGAACTCTAATCAGTGCTTAACTGAGGCAAGAAATGGCTTGTAAATTTTAATGCCTCCAAAAGGAAACTGCTCTCACTTAACCACTATAGAGAATTTTAATGCCTCCAAAAGGAAACTGCTCTCACTTAACCACTATAGAGAACTACTTTCCTGTCCGTCATTAGCATGGCTGGTGCGAGACCCCTGTAGAGAAACATATTGTGCCTTCTTGGCCTCACGTTTAACTGACTTGAAGTGGAATAACTGCATCGAATCAATAGTTGCAGCTACTGCAAAGAAAGTTAGGTCACTGTGTCGTGTCAGATGGTTTTTCTTGTCAGAGTCAATCTTGCACATTTACAAATCTACCATTCGTCCGTGCATTGAATGTTGTTGCCATATCTGGTCTGGTGCTCCTGCTATTCATCTCTAGGTTCTTGATAAAATTCAAAGAAGGATCTGCAATGTAATCAATCCTGACTTGCCATCTCGACTTCAGTCACTTTCTCACCGACGTGACGGGGCTTCCCTCTGTATTTTCTACAAATATTTTCATGGCAACTGCTCTGACGAGCTTTTCCCCTGGTGTCCCGACTACGTGAATTTAAGCATGCTACTAGATTGACATCTAGGTCCCACCCTTTTACCGTTAAAATATCTAAATGCAACCGCCACTTCTACTCCAAAAGTTTCTTTTCTCGCATTTCCTGCCTGTGGAACTCTTCTGTTTACTTGCTTCTCTGATAACCGCAATCTCCAAAAATTTAAATGCAACGTCAATCGCTTCAATTTTCTTGAATCCCGTCCATCTTTTATTCTTTCCTCGGTCCTCTTCCCTGTATCCAGTCCTTTCTCTCTTTCACTCTGTAACTTCCTGCGTACTAGTGGCATTCCCACCTTGGTTGGGGTCATGATTAAAAAGTACAGTATAGCGGAAGCTCCTCTCTCAACCTTCTTCAAAATTACTGCCCCCAAAGCTGTCTGCTCTCGCTTCAGAATGGATTCTTTCTGGAATGGAAAGTTCCTTAGACATCGGCAGTGAAACGAAAACAGTCTACTGATTGATCAAAGGGTTAAATTCGGAATTTTATGTATACTACTCGGATCTACATACACCTGATGAAGGCACAAAAGCCGAAACGTCGTGATAGCAACAGTAATGATGAGGACAATAGTCCATACGTAAATAAAGATCGATAAACATTAATCTTTCGCAATAAGCATTGTTTGGTATCGTGAAATTTTAATAAGTGTTTGGGGGAGGTACAAACAAAATGTGAAGCGTTTCTTAATTTTCAAAATGTTTTATAAGCGTACCTACGGTTAGGCTTATGGTCACATCATATTGAAACGCCGGTTCCCGTACGATCACCGAAGTTAAGTAACGTCGGGCCTGGTCACTAGCTAGATTGGTGACCGCTTATGAACACCAGGTACCGGAAAGTTGGATGTGCGGGTGGTGTAATCGATAATGGCTCGGAATTGTTAATGGGGAGCGGAATTCTACTTTCCGTTGGGTTTGTTATATTCACTTACGCGCAATACCCTTGGGAAAGGTATGAATCCACATCTTCTCCCCCATTTATGGTTTAATTAGCAAGACGTGTATCACTAAAACCATTATTATCTCCAAAAATAAAATGGTGCTACTATAGTATAATATCTACCAAAGCATTTGCGACCTACCATAAATGACGATGCACTCATTATTGCTAAAAAATGCTCAGAAAAACGATGACATGTTGACTGTTTTTTTAAATGACATCAAATCAGTTTACAAACATTAAAATTACTATTTGATGATTTAAAAAATTTTTCTTAATGTTTTTAAATACATAATCAGTTTGCTGTTCACTGCCTTTAACCCTAACTCTAACCTCTACCCCTAATCCCTAATGCTAACACCTAACCCTAACACTAACATATTTCATACAGTTGGTAAATATCATACCATAGTAGAAAATGAATAGTAGACATCATACTATAGTAGAAAATGGACCGTAGATATTATACTATAGTAGCACCAATAAAATCATGTACAAAATATTTAGACTACGGCATTAAGTAACCCATAGAGGTTGGTATACCGCTAATTAAAAAGAACCAACCAACCACACTGTTTATTCGAGAGATAAGTGTAGATAATTTGGATTTTATAAGAAGAACAGAAATACCTCAAAATTTCTGGTTTATAGGGAAAACAAAATCCTTCATTTTCAGCCGATTTTTTTTTTTTTAGTTGGAAAGGCCTTTATTCCTGTGTGCGTGTTTAAAACACCTCGCCCACTACGCCACGCAGACTTTCCTTCAGCTGATCTGTGTGGATCTTCTAACCACAACATGGGCAGAGAGATTAGGGTCGTATACTGTTACAAAGCTACAGCAAGAATAATTACTTTCTTCCCACACATTTCTAAGATTACGATTTTAGCTTTAGAAGATAGGAAATATAATTTCTTCTCTCGCACTTGGAACTCCCTTCCAGTTTTTTTTTGTTTTTGTTTTTGATTTTTTTTTGCTTTACTGTCAATTTCTTTTTCTATGCTCCGTATCCCTTCAAGACGTGGGCGATCATGGCTTCCATCTTCATTGACCGAGCAGCCAGTACGACTGTCAGTTGACATTTATCAAATCTTTCTTTTAACCCCTTCCTGCTAATTATTTTGGAAAAAAATGTTTCATTTTCAGACGAATTTTTTATTTGTTTTTAATATAGCTAACAAAGAAACTGAGTCACCTTGAAGTACCCGAGAAATGGCTAACAACAGACATGTTGACAAATGGACTCGTTTCAAACATAGAAGGGCATAAAAGGAATCAAGATCAACATATAAGCACGCTTATAGCTGGTTTTTGAAAGGTATGTTTTGGACGTGATTATCCGTCCTGTAACTAAAAAGGACACTTTCTGTAAAAACGTATATACACGTCTACACAGGGAAAAGGGGTTAAATCAATTTTCAGAAAAATCGGTTTCTCATGTCCAGTATTGACGGATGTCGCCTTCCTAAATTTTTCAAATGGTGTGGAAATACAAAATCTTGATTAAGTCATTATTTTTTCTTTCAGTTACATGTGATATCAATTGTTGCTGTTGTTGAAATTTCTGAAATGATGTGGATTCAATTATCTCGTACAGTTCTTTGCTTATGATTCTGTAGCGCCAGTCCACAAGTTTCAAAGAAGGATAGTTTTCGCCATGATCCACAGGCTTCACTTGCTCAAAGCCATTTTAACTATTGAATCTAAGAAAGCGGTTGTATGCAGCTGACAGTTTAAATATTTTTGAACGGGTTTAGTACTATACATGACAGCCATATAAAAGTCTCGATTATGTCGAGGTTATTTAAGAACATGACTTGATTCTATAGCTTAATGTTTCAAGCATTGGACGAAACTACCTCTAGTGCAGCTTATTTTATGTACAATTTCCTTCTCTCCCATACTAATATTTTTATAACTGATCCATACTCCAAGGTATTTGAAGTGTTCAGTATTTGCTAATTGCACACACTGAAATTTTATGAGAGATTCAGTATAGGTGCTATTGTGTATCCATATCATAGTTTCTATTTTGGAAATATTTATCTTGAGTCCTATATCTTGGAAACAATGTCGAGAAATCCCTTTCGAGAATTCCATTTAAGCTAGAAAATATCAAAAGACATGATTCGGACGAAAACATTGAAGATAATGCGAAGTGTGTATTCATCTTCTGCAGTTTGCACGGAATGGTGATAATGATGTGTACAATAATAACTGTGCAATGCTAATAATGCATGGCACCAAATTCTTCTTTTATGTATCATGTCCCTTCAGGGTGTTGGTAATCATGGCTCTCCACAATTTCCTGTTCTTTGTAGTTCTTAGTAAATTTTGTCTTTTTGTTATCTTTCCTAAACCCTGTTCAGGCAACGATTTACCCAAGTTTATTAGATAGATTATACACTGCTTTTCTTTGTCCCTCGTTCCTTCAATATGTTCTGTCAGTGTCATATTTTCCAACTCCTTTTTCCTCACTATGCGCCATAGAAATTGCCACTGTCTCTTTCTGATGTTAAGTATAAGTGTCCTTTTTGTTTCCATTTTCTCTAAAAAATTGTGCTACTAGTAGAAGTAATTCCAGTAGTAGTAATAGTCACAGTACTACTACTAGTAGTAATTTTACTACGTGTAATAAGTCTTGGGTGTGACGATAAACTACATCCGTCTGCAAGGCATCTGATCGGAAGTTTTGAGCAGCATCTAACTACCTTTTAATTGTTGTTGTTCTTAGGTTAAATTTCGGAATTAAATGACCCATAAGGAGTTGATATGCCGCTAAACAAACAAATCAATCAACCAAACTACGTGTAAAAATTTCACAACTAGTAGGAGTAGTAGTAGTAGTAGCAGTAATAGTAGTAGTAAAATTGTGTGCTAACATCGTAATAAGCAAGTATTAAATAGCGGAAACTTTCAAAGTTAAGTAATAAATTCGTTTTCCTACTTAAGCACCAAAATAAATAATAAATGCAAAATTAAATCAATTTCCTGACATGCGGACAATGCTAACTTCCGGTTTTATTACAGAATCCGGAAGTAACAATTCAGAAGATCGACAAATCAAATCATCAAAGAAAGAGAAAAATAATGAAATGATTTTTTTAAAAAAAACCCTCAGTGTCCATAAAAGAATCCAAACTTGTTTAGTAGTTAATTTCAACCATAGTGTAAAAAATCTAACAAGAAAATCACGCATATATGCTTATACAGACTTAAAGACATGGCTTCCAACTTCAATTAACAGACAACTTGCAAATGAATTATTGTATTTCTCATTATATTTCACCCAATGGAGTACAACACGCACCTTTAATTTGGTAAAGAATATTTACGAAAAACTAAAATTGTCATTATAACACTTGTAGATAATGTTTTAGGTTGTTTTTTTTTTTAGTTCTTTTTTTTTAATTTGTAATCCGAACACGTAGGTTCTTGTTGGGAAGAATTCTAATCTGGGCAGACTGTGTTAAAAATGCACAGTCACTTAGCTTAAACGAAGCAATGTCAATGCAGTCTCTCAGTAAAGGAAAAAAAGAAATTCTGATAACAACAATGAGTTTCTCATCACGACTTACAATGCTTCAATCGTTTTGCAAGCTCCAAATTTGCATAACTTCACATTACCCCCAATCAAACCCATCGCAAGCTCCAATTTCGCATCACAAAATTTTAATATGTTTATGATTTGTAATAAGTTTATGACATATATATATATATGTTTAATAATCGTGTATTTGGGTAACAAATCATCTTTTATAAAAATTTCGTTAAAAATGACTGACAAGGTACTGTGGTTAAGTTTTTATTTAATTTTTCTTGTGTTCTTATACTTTTTTCTTTTCTGGACATAAATTATGTAGAACTTGCCCGAATGTTCTGTATGTCAGAGCGCTTTTGGATATACTTTTAGCCATTATCAAGATACATACATGGAAAACATACATACATAGATATATACATAAATAGATACATACATAAAAAAAAATCCATCCATTTAGTTAAAAATAAAAATAAAACCATCCTTGACAAGAGATAAAAGTATCGCCGAAATCACTCGGACATACAGAACATTCGGACAATTTCTACATAATATTTGTCCAGAGAAGAAAAAAATGTATAAGAACATAAGAAAAATTAAATAAAAAACTTAACCTTGCCAGTCGTTTTTGACGAAACTTGTATATATATATATATATATATATATATATATATATATATATATATATATATTAATTCAAATGTTGTTATAGTGGACATGTATTTGAAATGGATGCTCCATTTTTATTTATTAAATAGTGTGTATTACGTCTATTAGCCTGCCTACGCATTCTATTTCAAATACGAAGTATCCACTATAATAACATTTGAAATAATACACATTGTCAGATTAAAAATAGATCCATCAATTATTGATATATATATATATATATATATATAGAGAGAGAGAGAGAGAGAGAAAGGGAGAGAAAGAGAGAGAGGGAATAGAATTCATATAAGTAAAAGTTTATCACTTAGCTGACTGATGCGACTTGCAGCATCCCGACTCCAGAGTTTCATAGACGGAATCGTCCGTCCACTCGTCAGTGAGTATCAGCAACTGACTGCTTTCTCGATTTTTCTTTTTTATGCACTTTTCATTGGTGCAAGTATTTATCCGTATTGTTCGTGTGCATGTGTGCGCGTGTGGCCATGCGCCTGTCTGCGCGGATGTGCATACATGTAGAGTATTATGATTATTTGTTTTTTCCTTCGTTTTTTTCCTCCACTTTACACTTACTCCTTAGTTCTTTCTTTTTTTTCCATTTCCTCTTTCTTTTCCTTTTCCTCTTTCCTTTCAATTGTATATATATATATATATATATATATATATATATATATATATATATATATATAT